ATAATAAAATGTACATAATTGTATAATAGAATACACATAAACTCCGTCGAGTTAACTTTTCACACAACTTAACAAAACTATGCCATTTCGGGCCAGACAGGACGCACAATGCATTGTGTGTCACGATATAACAATTACCAACCGGAATATGTTTTTCCTACCTAAAAACAAAGGCCCTATTTTAACTTTAGTTAATTAAGCAAAAATATTATTATTATTATTATTATTATTATTATTATTATTATTATTATTATTATTATTATTATTATTATTATTATTATTGTTATTACTAGTACAATACCTGTGCGGTGCACGGTCTATAAATTGGTAATAGTTAATGTTAATTTTTATTTTTTTTTTTACATTGTTAAAGTATGTTATATATGTATATTGTAAATAATAGAATTGAAAGCTACATACGTTCATTTGGAAATAATTATTATATAAATAAATATACTCAATTCCGTTAAGAATTTTAAAATGATTTAGCAGAGTTGAAGTTATGAAATTTGATGAAATTAATTATTATAATATTAAATTTGGTAAATTGGATCCAATCTACAATGATAAGGTTATCTCATATTTGGAATGATTTTTCTTTTAAAATGATATAAATTTAGTTATCTCATATTAGGAATGATTTTCAATAAATATTGAATTTTATTTTACAACAAGATAAATTCAAATAATTTATAATTATTTTACCCATTTGGTTCATATAAAATATTCAATATTGGTCATATTTAGAATGATTTTGAATAATATCTGATTTTATTTTACATCGTGGTATTCGCAGAAATTTATAATTGCACTGTTAATGAAATGAGTTAATTGTTACATAAATACTGTAAATTGCAAAGTGTTTTTATTTTTGTTATTTTGTGTTATTAATTGTTAACAACTATACTGATCAGTATCTTGTGTATGGAGATAGTTTTTGTTTTTATTTTATCTTGTGTTTTCTTGATTTTCATATGTTAATTATGCAGGGATGGATGCACAATTATATACGCAAGGAAATAGTCCTCATTTCATGTATTCTTATAATCTGCAACCAGTCAATCATATTGTATGTGGAATAGGTATGTTGTATATTTTTGTTTATTATGTTCGATAGTGCTGGCTTTGTTTATCCATGTATAATAATTAATAAATCTTAGACTAATTTTTTTTTAATGCTACTGACTCTACTACATATAATATATTGGAATAAAAAAGATTTAATGCAACATTTAACAATAGAATAAATCATTGTGTATAAAACACAAATCTAAACCCAAACATTATTCAAGAACATCAACAAAAAATCCCAAAAAAGAGTTGAAGTCGAAGATAATGGAAAACATTCCGACGAGGCTTAACAGCGAGGCGGAAGACCAATTGGAACGAAGCACGAAGAAAACGAAAATGTCAACGGAATCACACATGGGTGATGCAACACAAACCAACGACGGACTGATCCGCGTGTAATGATCCGGGTAAGTCTGCATGGACTGAAACTCTTTCGTTTAGCCAGGTTGTCGCGAATGACAACACTGGTGGCAATAAGAAAGTGAAGGAGATCGACCTTATCTCTAACGATGAGGAAGATGAACGTGATGAAGATGTTGATAAGAGCTGCACAACGATCACGCTCACACGGGAGGAGAAATTGAGACTCCGGTCAAAATGGAAACAGACTTTGATTGTGAAAGTATGGGGGGGGAATGTAGGATATACATATCTCCTCAGGAGGCATATCGCCCTTTGGCACCCAAAGGCAAGGATGAAGTTAGTAACGATGGAAAATGGCTACTACATAGTGAAGTTTAACACCATAGATGATTACAATTTTGCGAAAATAGGAGGCCTGTGGATGGTCCTCGATCACTATCTGATTGTGAAGGAATGGAGGACAAATTTTGATCCGGTCATAGACAAAATCGAAAGTGTGATTGTTTGGGCTAGATTCCCGTGCTTACCTGTAGAATACTATGATCACAATTTCTTAATGAGGGTGGGAAACAAAATTGGTCGTTCTCTCCACATTGATACTGCAACTAGTCTGGTGTCAAGGGCAAGTTTTGCTCGTGTTTGTGTGGAAGTTGACATAACAAAACCTTTATTATCGAAGTTTACCGCGGGGAGACGGTTAAGGCCGATAACATACGAAGGGTTCCATCTCATCTGTTTAGTGTGGACTCTATGGCCACAATGTCGAAACCTGTCCAAAGAATCAGCATGAAAACGACGAGAAAACCCAGAGTGAGAACCATGATGATGGGGGTCAGGCGACGGCAACCACCGCCAGTGGCGGAGACAACTCGGAGCAAAGGAGCACCGGTAATAAGATTGTAAGCATTGAAAATTTAAGTGATTTAATTGGGTCGTGGTGGATATTTAATTCTTAAATTAATTACTTTGATTAAGTTAATTGGACTAATATTTATTTAATTAGGCTAATTAAATGACCCATTGAATAATTAATTGGTTTAATTACTTAGTTAAGTGTAATTGAATGTTGGATTGTTCGGCCCAAGTTGGTGGAATATTTAATTGAGTTGGACCAGGCTGCTTGGATGAATTGGGTTTCCTAATTAGCGGGTTTGACTTGGTTTTGGCCCATCAAAATTATATGTGGATTATATAATTTTGAACAAATTGGAATATTTGATATTATTTGAAAATTTAATGCAATGATGAACATGGACGCAATGGTGTCCCGATACATTCCCTAATTTAATTAAAATAATTAAATTAAATTAAGGGATAGAGTTGGTTAGAGATTTCTTCTCTACACTCACCACTATAAATAGTGGTTTCATTTTCAAGAATGGGAGCTCTGGAAATCTGCATACTGAAGCTCTGCCGAAATCTCGCCAAGATATCGTCTGGAATACGCCCGCAGTTGTACTGCGTATACCGCGCTGAGGAACACGCCACTTGAACACCGGAAGTCCTTCTTTAAAGATCAAGCTATATACGCTGAGGAACACGCCACTTGAACACCGGAAGTCCTTCTTTGAAGATCAAGCTGCATATTAGCCCTTCATTGAGGAACAAGCTACTAACTCGGAGGCCTTTCAGCAAGGAACTACTCTAGTTCGGCACACTCCCGAATTCGGCATACTTCCAGTTCAGCATACTCTGACCTCGGCATACCTCCAGTTCAGCATACTCTGAACTCGGCATACTTCCGACAAGGAACTACTTCAAGTTCGGCATACTCCGAACTCGGCACACTTCCAATTCGGCATATTCCGAATTTGGCACACTTCTAACAGGCATACTTCTAGTAGAGAATCAGAGGACTTCTCCTATACAGAGATTGTACCCTTTCCCATTTGATATATACTTGATACTACTTGTAACCGATACTTTGAATTTTGAATATATACAATTCAAGTTTTTCGCATTTACAAAGATGACTGATAAGGAAGTTCCCATACATAGACCTTTTGTCACCGAAGATTATGGTATTTGGATGATTGCACCAAAACCAAAAAGGAATTATGCCAAGAAACAGGGTGAGAGAAATCAGAAGGAATTAGAAAATGGAAACTTACCTTCGCGAGGCAATGAAAAAATAAGGAATAAATCACAAATATTTCAGGATCAAGATTTGAGCAATTATCTGGAGATGAGGTGGCAGATGCAAGAGTAAACCAAATTAGTACGGGAAATAAGAAGAATAACGGACATAAAAATAGAAATACAACCGATAAAGGAAAAAGACCAGCTGTGCAAGTCAGCGAGAAAAGAATCGAGGGAACAATGTGCACGGTAAACACAATAGGCAAGCGGAGAAGAGTAGCAAGAGTTTGAACCAGGGGAGAAAGGAGAAACCAGGGAAAAACCAAGCAAATCAAGCAGCAGCCGGGGATGATCATACTTTCGTCACAGGAGACAAAAATGGGGCATCATCTTCGACAGTGGTGAACTTGGGAAGTGAGGAACATATGAATATCTTGCAGGTTGAAAACTCCATTCCTTTAGAGCACCATGGTGATCCACCAGATGAATGCACTGGACGAGATGGCACATTGGAGAATGAAGACCTCTTCATGGGTAGTCTCGAGATCCCCGGCGGGGGTGACATGGAAACCGAGTTTTGAGGGACTGGTCTCTCTTGCTCGCTTGGTTTGCCTCTGTTCTTTTTTTCTCTGTGTTTTGCTTTCTTTTTGCGCCTCCTTTTGCGCTTTTGTTTTTCCGTTTGCTTTCTGTTGGTGGCTGTTTCTTTTTTCTTTTATTTTCCAATGAATGTTTTAACTTGAAACTGTCAAGACGCAGCGTCTAAGCAATTTCTTAGGGCTGCTCGATGGCTTACCACCTCGCACAAACCAGATATCTTCTGCTTGTTCGAAACAAAGACCTCGGGCTTCAACGCCACAGAAGTTTGCATGAAGCTAGGTTTCGACAATTGGGCTAGGATTAGGGGTGTAAACAAATCAAATAATTTTAATTCGATTCATGATTCGAATTCGAATATGTTGATTCGAATTCGAATAATTCAAATTCGAATCCGAATTCGAATACCTATTTTGATTCAAAATTTATTCGAATCCGAATACGAATCGGAATATATTCGATTCGAATACTATTCGAATATATATATATATATATATATATATATATATATATATATATATATATATATATATATATATATATATAATAGAATCTATAATATAATATTATATTATATTATATTTTTATATTAAAAAACTAAAAATAAACCCTAAGTCCCTAAGTCAGTATCACAACTTGAGAGAAAACTGAGAAGAAGCAAGTCAAGCAACGCCTCCAACAGTCCAACTCCTCCAACTCCAAGCCGCTATTCTCCAACGCCGCTTCAGTCAGTCGCTGTCCGCACTTTCGATCGCCGGAGTGCCGGTCGTGACTCTGCCCTCGTCAAGCTCCAACACTTCATCTCCATTCTCCAAGATCCGTGACGGTTTCGCGCTAGAGAAGCTCCAAGCCTCCAACGCCAACACTCCAGATATGTGACTGTTCCGGCAGCAATGGACGGCAAGGGCATGACGGCGGCGATCGATAACAATGGTAATAACAGTATGTTGATATATATATATATATATATATATATATATATATATATATATATATTGTTATTTCATATTGTTATTTCTCTGTTGGATATATATATATATATATATATATATATATATATATATATATATATATATATATATATATATATATATATATATATATATAAACAAAGAAAATGATATATATGTTATAGTAATTAGTAATTGTTAGTAATTGATATATACTGTAATTCGAGATATATATGTTATAGTAATCAAAGCATTTGTTAGTTTGTTTACAGTATGTTTTGTTATTTAACTGATTATGTGAATTGAATTTGAAAATTATTTATTTTATATTATTATAGTACTCAAAAAGAAATTATTGAATTTGTGGGCAGTAGATTCTTCCTTGGCTATTCAATCTTCAAATCCAAATGAGCAAAAACAAGGAGATGATGTTAGAGAATATGAGGAAATAAATTATGGTGATTTTAATGAAGTTAATGATGGAGGCCTTGAAGGTGATAATGTTCATAACTTGGATGCTAATGTGGGGGTTAATGATGATGGTATAGAAAATGAAAATATAGAGGTTGGAGATGAAAAAGGTGATGATGAGAAGGAATGTGAAAAGAATGATGATCAAGAACAATTTCAAAGGAAGAAAAGAAAGAGGGTATCAAAAGCCCACTTTGATTTTACTAAAGTTACTGCAAAGGATGAAAGTATAAAGCTACAATGTATACATTGTAAAACACTCCTTTCTAAGTCGGCGTCTCCTACAACAACTCATCTTTGGAACCATTTGAATAGGTGTACACAAAAGAAGCTTCAAACAAAAAATCAAAAAACCTTGCAATTTCAGAATGCAAAATCCAAGTTTGAGACACCTCCTTTGTCCGATGGTAAATATGATTATACAAAGCAAAGAGAAGCTATTGCTCATTGGATTCTGATGAACAAGCAACCGTTAAGTGCTGTGGAAAATTTTGGCTTTAATTTCATGATGAATGTTAATCTTCCACAATATGAGAAAGTCTCTCGTGCCATGGCAAAGAATGACGTCATTACTGTTTATGAAATAGAGAAGAAAAAGTTACAATTGCTATTAAGAACCATCAATAAGATATCATTGACCACTGATATTTGGAAGTCTAAGGTGCAAAAGGTTTCATATATGTGTGTCACTGGACACTTTGTTGATTCAAATTGGCAACTTCAAAAGCGTGTACTTAGTTTCATGCCTCTTCCTCCTCCGCATACTGGTAATGTTCACTTGTTTGTAAATATATCTCTATAATAATTAATTAATAATAACTATTTCTTGAATTTAATTATATTATTGTCATATTTCAGGTGTTGATATCATTGATGGGGTTATGAAGTCCACAAAGGATTGGGGAATAGAGCATAAAATCTTCACTATTTTAGTGGACAATGCTTCAAACAATGATGTTGCAGTTAGAATTTCCAAACAAACTTTCTCCAGGAGTCATAAGCTACCTTTGGGTGGTAAGCTATTTCATGTGAGATGCACTGCTCATATATTGAATCTTGTTGTTCAAGATGGTATTTCTGCAATTAAAACCATTGTTGATGATGTTAGGAATAGTGTGCGATTTATTAATCAGTCTGAGTCTATGTTGATGAAGTTCTCTGAAATTGTGCATCATTTGGGAAATCCGGTGAAAAAGTTAGTTCTTCATTGTGTTACTCGTTGGAATTCTACATATGAAATGTTAGTTGTGGCCCTTAAACTTAAGGATGCATTCCCAATATTTGCACAAAGAGAGCCTTCATATAAATGTTGTCCTAGCTTGGAAGATTGGACTAGAATACATGATGTTCTTAGCATCTTAGAGGTGTTTTATGAAGCTACTCAAGTGATCTCTGGAACTAACTATCCCACTTCTAATGTTTTTCTTGGTGTTGTTTGGAGGGTCAAGCATGTCTTAAATGAAAATGAGTTTCATCATGAAGAGGTCATTAGAAATATGATTGAAAAGATGAAAAAATTTGACAAATATTGGGGTGATTGCAATCTTTTGATGTCTATTGGAGCAATACTTGATCCTAGGTACAAAATGAGGTTGGTTGATTTTGCTTTCAACCAAATATATAATGCAAATGATGCAAGTGCAAATGTGAAGAATGTTAGGGATGCATTACATGACTTGTTTTATGAATATGTTGAAATTGATAACATGAGAAATCAAAGAGGTAGTTCTTATGTGACACATGTTGGCAGTTCGGTTGTTACTTCTACACGCTTTACTTCTAAAGAAAAAGTAGTCCTTTCTGATTTGTCTTTGTATGATAAATATTTAGACAGTGTTGAAGATGTAACACCAAAACAATCAGAGTTGGACATTTACTTGGAGGAAGGGGTTTATAGGTGTCAAGATGGTGAAGTAACCTCCCCCGTATTTGATGCCTTATCTTGGTGGAAATCTCATGAATTGAAGTTCAGTATTTTGTCGAAATTAGCCCGTGATGTTTTAGCTATTCCAATTAGCTCCGTGGCATCAGAAGCCACATTTAGTGCGGGTACCCGAGTTCTAGATCCTCATCGTGCTAAACTATCTTCTGACATGGTGCAAGTTTTAATTTGTGGAGCAGATTGGGTTCGTCAACTTCATGGGATCAATAAGCCTATTATGACATATGTAAGTTCTACTTTAGTAATTTAATATATCTTATTGATTTAATGATAATAATTTTAACTTTATTTTTATTTTTTTGTAGGAGGAAGAAGAACCAATTGATGTCATATTGCAAGCATGATGGCTGGAGAATATTTGAAGTTTAATTGTGATTGTTATTGTAGTACTTAATTTATGAATTTGATTGACTTTTTTTGGGTTGATGTTGAAACTTAATTCAAACCTAATATTCTTAATCTAGTATTTAATATATGAATTTGATGATTGACTTTTTGTTGTTATTTTAATGTGATTCTTGATTAGTGTATTAATATAATATTTTATGCTATTTAATTATAAATTTTTATTACATTTTTTCTTAATTTATTAGAAAATTTTTTAAAAAATTAAGTTAGCCATTTCGAATTCGAATATTCGAGTCGAATCGAATATATTCGAATAAACTGGTCGAATCGAATACAAATCAAATTTAAGATTCGAATATTAAACGAATACGAATATTCGAATATATAGTCGAATTCGAATCGAATAGTGAGATATTTGACTCGATTCGATTCGTACACACCCCTAGCTAGGATCGAAGCTCTTGGGTTCAGTGATGGCATTTGGACGCTTTGGAACAAAGACACTCAGGTTGAAATCATGGCTTCCCATCCCCAATTCATGCATATGAAGATTAAAAATACAGATGGGTTAATTTGCAGCTTCACGGCTATCTACGGCAACCCCACCCTTCACCTCCGTCGCTGCCTTTGGAGCACTCTAAGTTGGAACAACATAAACGTGGATGGCCCCTGGCTACTAGCTGGTGATTTCAACGCCATTTTAAACAATGAAGAATGTTCGAGTATTGGCCAGTCGAGTAATTATAGAAATAGAGAGTTCAAGAATTGGATCTTTGATGACGAATTGGTTGACCTGGGTTTTATAGGCCAGAAATTTACGTGGAAGAGGGGATGTGAAGAGGAGACCTTCAAGGGAGCGAGATTGGATAGAGTTTTAGGGTCCCTGGATTGGTTGGAAGTTTTCCCCGACACAAAAGTCACTCACCTAGCCATGGTTAGATCTGACCATTGCCCTGTTTTGGTGGAAACGGATTACTCCCATGGTAAACAAAACCGTCAGTTTATGTTCCAAGGAGCATGTGTTAGGCACCCAAACTTTATTGACATGATCCGAATTAATTGGAATAAGAAAAACACGGTTTGGGCTAATAAAGAGAACATGGCGAATAAGCTTAGATTGGAACCGATCAACCTTTGGGAACATTCATCATAATAAGAAAAGACTTATGAGGAGACTTGAGGGCTTACAAACTAAGCTGGACACGGTAGCTCATGCGGGGCTCATTAGACTTGAAAAGAAAATTAGAAAAGACCTCGAGGAAACTCTCCACCAAGAGGAGATTTTATAGTTCCAGCAGGCCAGAGAAAATTGGATCACATCCGGCGACAGGAATACAAAATTCTACCATGCAGCAGCGACAATCAATGAGTCTAAGAAAAGAGGCTTTAAACTCTCAAGTAGCAACAACCAAAACATCCTAAGTGAAGATGAAGCAGAGAGGCAGGTCCATGAGTACTTCTCGGCTCTATTCACCAAAGACTGTGATGTTGACTGTAGTTATGCCCCCAAGAATAGGTTTCCAAAGTTGAAGGAAGACGATTGGGACAGGATAAATATGGAGTTCACCCCGGAGGAAATTAAGAAAGCTTTATTTGAAATGAGCCCGCTCAAAGCACCCGGGCCTGACGGTTTTCATGCTTGTTTCTATCAGAAAGCCTGGGAAGTGGTGTGACCTTCTGTTATCAAGCAAGTAAAAGAATTCTTGGAAACAGGTAACCTTGAAGAAGGAATGAATGACACGCTCATTTCCCTGATCCCTAAGAAACCATCGCCCATATTCTTCGAGACTGCACCCAAGCCAGGGAATTGTGGAGAGCTATCGCTGGAACCAACAGGTACACCTCCTGGCTTCACACTAACATTACATCTTGGCTTGAGGATAATATTGCAGGTGGCAAGGACACAGAATGGCAATGTACCTTCACCATCACCCTTTGGTGGTTATGGCACTGGAGAAATAACAGAATTTTTAAAGAAAACTTAAATCTCCAGAGGAGAGTTGCATGGATCAAGAAAGCAGGCGAGGAAGTTGCTCCTGCCTTCATGCGAGAAGAGACCATCAAAGCCACAGCTGCTAGTGAAAAAACCATCCACCTTAGCTGTAAACCTTCGGAATAGCACCAGATGACAATCAATGTTGATGGAGGTGCCAAGGCATCAATTAACAAAGCAGGCTTTGGAGGAGTTTTGCGCGATCAGCAAGGAACCTGGATAGAGGGATTCTCGGCTAGTATGGAGTTAAACCACCCGGAGGTGGTGGAGGCCAATGCGATTCTCATGAGTATGCAGTGGGCGTGGAACAATGGCCTTCGCGATGTGGAAATTCAATCAGATGTAAGGAGGGTGGTGGATTGGCTTTATACTAACACCACCCTCCGGGGACCTATAAGCAAGATCATGGAGGACGCCAGGAAGTGGCTCGCAAAGGACTGGAGGATAACTGTTCGCACTATTTATAGAGAACAGAACTGGGTTGCAGACTCTCTTGCAACCGCTGGAGTCTTTCAGCATGCAAACTGGGAGATTTACAAGTCCTGCCCCATCACGTGCACAGAGGCTTTTGCCAAAGACCAAGCTCAAGTTACTACTTTTCATAGAGTCAGGGAGATAAATTAGTTTCCTTTCATATCTCACTCGGGTCTTCCCCGTCCCCTTTGATCAAAAAAAAAAAAAAAAAACCCCAAATACTTAACCAAAAAAAAAAAAATACAACTTTAAAAAATTTCTCATAAAAAATCCATAAATATTCCACCAATTAAACCCAAAACTTATGCAATTTCAAGGTTTCTTTAACTTCACAATGGATTTGGCCTCCTTCCCCACATTTGATGAAAATGAATAATCCAGTTTACGCTTAACGCTGTGGTTGGAAGATCCAGATTCAATTATTTCAATTTTAGCATCTTGTTAGGGTTGTTCTTTTACTGGTGTCGTGAGTGGTGACCTCACCCCAGAAGATAATTCCTTAAAAAAAAAAAACAAAAACAAAAAGTGTACATAATTCTTTGTTGACTAATATTTATGAAGTTAGAAGAATAAATATAAAAATAGTTTATTAAATTACAAAGAGAAATTACCTCCAACACTTTTAACTTGTCCAAGTTGTAATGTGAAAAATGCATCTGAATCCTATAGAATAAAACTACATATATTATTTACTTTCTATTATTTAAAAGTAATAAACTATTAAAATTTAAATAATTGAAATTTTTAGATATTTTCAACCTGGTTCTCTAGCAACATACTATCACGAACTTTTGAAATAAGCCCTGGTTCACGATAAAGTTTCATCTCGGACAAAGATTCATATATATATATTTAATATGTTCTCTGGCTTTACTTGAATCTTAAACAGAACATGTTGGTCAACTATAACATCCATTTCAGGTGGGAATGAATTCATTTCGTCCTAAACAATAAAGAGTTTCAATTAGTATAAAATGAATAAAAAAAATAGTATGTAAATTGGCAATGATTTTTGTATAATTGATTTAGCATTTTTGTAATTATGTATATAAAGTGTATGTAAAATAAATTAGCAGAATTGAAAGAATTGAAATTGATGGTAGTAGTAGCATAATTGAAGTTAGAAAATTTGATGAAATTAATTATTATTATTATAATATTATATTTGGTAAATTGGTAATAATTTTTGTATAAATGATTTAGCATTTTTCTAATTATGTATTATGTATCCTTCCCACAAATGTTCAATCAATGCATTACGGAGTGCATAATGAGCTTCTTTATTTTTAATTTGATAAATATTTTGATAATTTGGGAGGGAGTAGGAGTGGACTAGGAAATTATTTATTTTATTTTATTTTTCAAAATTGTGTTGTATTTTCTAATATCAATATTATGTCGTATGTATTTTAATTTTTACTATGTTCTAGTTATGTTTGATGTATGTCGTATGTATTTTAATTTTAATTATGTTCTAGTTACGTTTGATGTATTTGAATTTTTATTAATATATATTCAATATTAGTCTTGTTTTGATCGTCTCAATGATATTTTTAAAATGGTATAATTTATATTTAATAATACAAATTTTAAGTATTTAACAAAATAAAAAAATACATATAAAATAAATAAAGGATACATTTGAAATTATAAAAAGAAGTAAGGGTAAAATGATAACTTTCCTTCCCATTCTACATTTGTCGCGGATGAACAGTGCCTGGCGCGACACTGGTCATCAACGCAAAAAAAAATAAAAAATAAAAAATAAAAATGGCATTATGCCGTTTTGCTGGCATACGTTGGAGCACTATATTTTGCAAGGATGGTGGTTTGGTGTTTGATTTTGCCGTTTTGCAGCTCCTTTGGAGATGCTCTAAGAAGTCAAACAAGTCATTTAAAAATGTTGTTGTCTAACTATATATTTTACTCTTCTTTTTGAGATTTGACAAAAAAAATCAAATTTAAATTATATTAGTTACCTCTGGTTCACGGTTCTGGATCCAGTTTGAACCGTTGGTTCATTTTTTTTTAAAAAAAAATTAAATTTTTTAAATTTTTGATACAGTCTAAATTCAACAATTAATGTATTTTTTTCAGTTCGGAATCAGAACTTGACGTTCTAGTTCGTGATTTTAATAAATTTGAACCCAAATATCGGGTTTCGATTCTAAATTGTAATTGGAACTTTTAGGTTTGGTTGTTATAGTGTCTATTCGATTTGAACCAAATCGTGGTCATAATTTGTTGGAGAAGAAAAATACATGGTAAAAATATCCATTTAACATATTAATGAAAAAAATCGTCACTTTTAGAATAATTGATGGGCTAATGTGGATACATATATGAATAATTCAAGTTTTCAAAATATATATATATATATATATATATATATATATATATATATATATATATATATAACTCCCGGGGGGTGGAGGGGGGCATTTTTCCTATGATAATTTTAATTTTAGGTATGTGGAAATAGTGATGAAGTTGTTAAATATAAGGGTAAATTTTTCTAACAAAAATGCAAAAAGGATAATTTTGTCAAATAAAATAAAATGTACAATATTTAAAGTGCAATGTATACCTCTAATAACACACAGAAAATGAATAAAAATTAGACATAACCTTAATTCACACACACACACACACACACACACACACACACACACACACACACACACACACTCACATATATATATATATATATATATATATATATATATATATATATATATATA